AGTCAAAAACTATATACTTTCACAACCTATCAAGCCTGAGGGGCCCTGGTCTGACTTAATCCAGCATTAAAAAGATAGTTTGAAGAAACTTGAAATGGCCCACTGCAATTTGAGAGGTACTAAGCACCTCAGGGATGTGTCTCATGAAGAGGCTTTAAAATTCTTTCTTGATTTACAAGCTCAGATTGCTTTTCCTCCTCTAATTTCTGGCACTAGTCATAGAGCAGGTATTGTGTGCTTAGAACTTTGAAAAGAGGATCTGACACCTTATCTCCCCAAAGCTGATTGGAGAATATGTCCAAACCTGTATCTCTGTGTGACTATGTACAATTTGGTGCTAGTTTTAATATGATGAAATTTGAAGAAATCTGGAAAGGACTTAGAGACATAATTTAACGAAAAGGATTATATGGTTTATTAAAGAACTTGACAGAGCCAACACAGGAAACCAACTCTACCTCCAATTAACTATCAATCTTATTCGAAATTTATTACCCCTACAAAAATCCTGTGCACAGGCCTGGATGATTTACAGTGGGACTAAAGACTCCCAGGCTGTACACAAGACTGTCCTGCAGTATATCTCTTTTGACATTGCTGGTATCTAAAGTAAAACATCACCTTCCTTGTTTACCTAAACTGCAGTGTCAGCGCCTACTGCAGATTCTGTATTCAGCTAAGAAAGGTAACTGTTCTGAATTTTAGAGTCAAATTTCATGCTGCTATAAAAATTCCCATTATATGACTATAGTAATGGTTTTATTCCTTGACCTTCTATTTCTTTCATTTACCAAAGCCTTCTTTTAAACATTATCTGAAGCCTTTAAAAAATAAACAGGTGACAAACAATGGCAAAAATTATGAGATTATATTTATGTAATGCTTTTCTTCATACACAGAAGCGTAATCATATCTATTATTTGACAATGTGATATAAGGAACAGCAGACCTTGAGCTTTACTGGAAAGACTGAAGAAAAAATGGATGGTCCTATATACATTTTTACTACATAGGGAATCTTTTTTCTACATTTCTGTTAAAAAGATGAATACATTGACTCAGTTATAAGTGTATGCTTTCATAGCAGGGCAGAGATGTTAAGAGGTTTCTGGATTGTAAATTAATATTATTTGGGGGGCAGCTTTGTTGAGGCATAACTGGCATACAAAAGAGTAGTACACGTTTGAATGTGTATGGTTTCATGGGTTTGAACATGTGCATATACTCACAGCACTATCACTACAATCAGGTAATGTCAAACGGCAATGTATTTAGCATCATTCAGTTATAAGGGGCCCAAAGTACATGTTGATGTAAAAGCAACAATTTTTCTTTCAAGTGACTTTTAATTATTTTATTTTCTGTCACAGTGGAACTGAAGGAATTAATAATTAATAATTAAGACAGTAGATCGTATTTATCTTAGAATTTCTATATGGAGAAGTAGATGAGTCCTGATTTTAAAGTAATTTGCCTCAGGTGATAGAATAGATTTAGAAGCAGAACTACAGGAGAATATAAATTCCTAATTACCTATACAAATCTGGCTAAGGATCTAGCTCAGGAAATTAGATACAGATTATAAAACCAAAGTAGTATTACTCCCTGATCAGAAGTGATTTCCTAAGATGGCAGAAGCCCTGCAGAAAGTATAACACCTATTAGAGCACCTGGGTAAATGGGAGACCTCCATTCACGCAAGGACAAAACTAGGTAAATTAACTCACGGCCATTTGAACACAGTTTTCTCGTTCTTATGGGTGTCTTTCCAAGTGCTGTTAATCTGAGCCTAATACATTAAATTCTAAAGTAAAGTGGCAACAGTCAGCAAGTGTTAGACTTGCCAGTTTAATTCATAAAATCAGGAAGTAATACTACTAGAAGTTTTACTTAAGAATATATCCAAGTTCACAAACACACATACACCTTTTAAGAAAGAATATGATTATAAAAATGCAACTGCGAAAGCACATAAAAGGAAAGCTTACTCTGAGATTTTCATCTATGTCATGTTTATATGTGGCCATACTGATAATATAGGCTTTAACTTTAACATGGTATTAAAGTCCATAATTTCAATGTGTAGGATTTGGATAGGAAACAAAATAGAGCCATGAATAGCTCTATTTTTCTTTTATAAATGTAAAATTATTATTTTTCTATAGCACTGTAAATTTATGAAAGGTCTCCTCATTATGTAATTTGTATCTTACAAGCAACCTGACAGATGCACAAGGCATTTTATCCACGGATTTATTAAGAAAACGGAGTCACAAAAGCTTAAATAACCTTACCACTAGTAACTGAAAGTGAGTCTTAATACTTTTCTGTTTTTTTAAGAAAATATAATATTCCGAAGCATTCTTATAATCATTACTCTTTCATATGATGAGCTCCTAGTATTCCTGTCAAAATTAATATTAAAAATAGCAAAACCTTCTTATAGAAGAATTCCAAGTAATAAAAATAGTAGTCATCAGGGAAATAGTCACCATTAGAACACCACAGTAAATAACTGTTGCCTACAGGTAAGATTCATCAATGGATGCTAAAATTAGGAAGAGGACAATTGAAAAGAGACAGGGTATTTGTACAGTCTCAAGGTATCTTCTTCCAAATACCTATTATCTCAAAGGGAAAGAGAGCAACTTCACAGTGTAGCAACTCAGCAGAAACCACTCTAACCAAGTGACCATGATAACATCACCAGTAAAAAGATGACAGATACCTTACTATCTCTGATACAATGCAGTAGGAAGGACACATCACTTGTGCGGCAATCTTTCCAAAACCTCAATCTGATCATGAGAAAACATGAGACAAACTCAAACTGAGACATTCTACCACATATCTAACCAGGATTTTTCAAAGCATTAAGGTCATGAAAGAAAAGATTGAGGAAACATATCACAAATCAGAGGAGACTAAGAGACACGATTACTAAATGCAATATGGAATTCTGGATGGAATCACAGAACAGACAAAGGACATTAGTGGGGAAACTGGTGAAATTCTAATAAGGTCTGCAGTTAGTTAGTAGTATTGTATCAACACTGGTTGCTTGGTTTTGATCATCATACTATGGTTATACAAGACTTTAAAATTAAAGGTACACAGAAACTCTCAATTTTTGTAACTTCTTTGTTAAGTATAAAATTATTTCAAAATAAAACAATAAAAAATAAAATAAAATAAGATGATCCATTATGAGACTAGAAGAAAAATGACAGCAACAAAATGTTCGCATTTTTTTGGAAGCTAATTTTAACTGTCACTCAGATTTAGAGAAAATCCAGGGATTCCTAAATGATATAAAGAAAATTATATTCAGGAAGTAATTATTAATATAACTCGCTTTGTAGTTATGGCATAAAAAGATTTTTAAGCTGACTAACTTTTACATAAATAGACTGAAATAAGCTCCCCGAAGAATCTTCTCTCTTGTGTTAAGAAATCACTCCTTTAAGAGTCAAATCTTTCTTTGCCTAATCACATCAAGTATTTCAAAGGCAGATAAACAAACACAGCATTGCTTATGCCTAATATAGGCCTTAACCATAAAGTTCCATTTCAGTAGTTATCTATTTGTAATTCTCTCACTCCTACTAGACCATGAGCTACGGACGGAGGCAAGAACCATCCATCAATTGCCAACTTCAAACCCCTAGTCCGTCACGGCTCTTGAGACATTGCTGGGGGCTGGGGCTGGGGAATAATAATTATTTGCTCAAAAATAAATTTAAAAACTTAAAAGATCTTTCTAGTTAAAAAAACTACTTTCATATATTTAAAAAATTTTTAATTATATGAAAAAAATCCCCTGGGAAAATCATAAATAAACTTGAAATTAAATAATCCTCACTGTACTCTTCCCAAATTGCAACACTACCAATATAGCTTATTTCTCTTCTGGGTTATAGTTCACCTATGTGATCTAGTTACACGTAAGTTTAACCTTCCTTTTAAATTCAGTTTATAATTTGCGTCATTATGGTGAGTTAACTTTTTAATAATTCGTTTCATTCAAATATATTTTGGTGATTTCAAGTTCTTCATCAAGTACCTGCTTTTATTGTAATAGTCACTGGGGACAAAACATGAATCATCTAAGAACTGTGTGCTTTAGATAGTTACGTGGTATTACGTGTCCTACTTAAAATAAATAATAATGTCTATGGGTAAATGCTGTACCATTGTTATATCTTCTTCTTTGATATATGTCCAGTGACTGTTACAGACCTAGTAGGTAAAAACACCTCATACTTTCTAAAAGCATGAGACTATATAAGACATATGCACAAAGCAAATTCGTTACGCCAAATTTAGTATACATCACTGAATCTACAATGTAATTTATTATTGTAAAAAGAAGACAGGTTTGAGGGTTTCAATTGCTATTTTGGAAATTAAATATTACAATTCAAATATTACAATTAAACCAAGGATCATCGGTGAAATAGCTTTTTTGAAGTTATTCTAGCTTTATAAAAATCACAGTGAAATAAAGAACATATTTAACCTGTATAAAAAGTGGGGCATTATTTTGATTGGCTTTTGATCAATTTTATCAATATTTCAGATTTTCTGTACCTAAACACAAGAGCACAATCAAAAACAAACAAAAAAGTGTATTTAACACTATTCAAAGCAATGTACACATAATGTTTATACAAGGCTCAAATATAGGGCCTAAACACTTTTCTTGAATGTTTTAAAGGATTTGCAATACAAAAAATGAACATTCTCTTCCTATGTACTTCTCCTAGATATGTGCTGTAGCAGCATTCAAGTTTTGCCTGTCAAGTTCTCTGTTCACTAAGGAACACTAGCTACGATCATGTTTGACTGAATTTACTTCTCAGACAAAAGTTCTAAGGGAAACTTTATGGTATTGGCTAACTGCCCAAAGAAAGTATTTAAAAATAACAACACAACTCAACTCAGGAAGGAGGGAGAGAAGAAGTATCAAGTGAAGATACAAGCTTCAGAAGTACACTTACCTTCGCTTCTTTTTTCTGCTTGTTTTGCTGCATTTTCCACTTTTTTTTGTTTCGCTGCTAAGAGTGCCCGCTTTAGCTGTCTCGCTTCTTTTCTGAGCTCTTCACTATAAAGCAAAAATAGTTACGTAATTATATAATAGACTGAGAGGGAAAGTTGCTTAGCAAAAACAATTAAGTCTGATTATCAGGTATACTAAATCTCCAGGAAGAACAAAGTGAATAATATAATTCATTTTGCTGCTGTGTATGTGTATTTGTGATATGGAAACATACTGAAAGGATATTTTAAAAGATGAAGTTTTCATAATAGCAATATAATACGAATTACTATAAAATATAGCCCCTTTCAAGTATATCAAACAGAAATAGACAAGTGATAAATGAACCACTGTTCTTCCTCTAATTTACTTGAAAATTTAACATTCTAGTTTCAGTTTAATAACTCATGGAGATCTCAAATCAAAATATAAAAACTATTCACTAAACCTGGGCATACACAAAAAGATTTGGCTTCAAACCTTATTGAATTCCTGAACTGGCACCAATAACTACCATTTATTAAGTAATCATTATGTGCTAAGAGCCATGCTAAAATTTTTTTTAAACTCAATTTTTTCACAATTAATTTTTTAACTCATTTGATACCACAGTTTGCCAAATAATTTCCTCTTCTGTAAAATCTACTAAGCTGAGGTATTTTGATAATTAATGCAATCATATATTAATTAATATATAAGTGTTGAGTTCACTACAAGTCACCAGTTAAGTGACTAGTTTCTACAAGCCACTTTTAAGGCAGGGGATTCAAACTCATGCCTTGGAAAAAATTACTAACTACTCATGTTATGAACCTTAGGGTCACTTGTAAGTAGTCAAGACTGTGTTTTCCATGTCTGTGAATGTCAGGAATCCACTCTGTTCTTGACAACAGCTAGAGTGGATCACAGAGGCTGTGAACACTGTAGCCCAAGTAGGCACCACTGCATTCTGGAATGACCTCTCAAGACACCTAACCAAGGTTTGCCAAAATCTTAAGTCAAAATAGTTCGATACTGATTCAGCCTTTAGGGCTTCCTTCTGAACCCTAAATCTTATACTTAAAAAAAACTCTGTCCTGTAAAAGAGTCACCAAACTCATAGATCTTACAATGTGCATGACAGTTCTTTTACCTTTTTTCCATATCAAACACACACAACCATATTTCATATCTGCTTGGCCTCCAAGATCCTGAATTCTGAAACTTCCCTCTCCGATCAAAATCTGCTGTTTTTAGCTTTCTGAGCCTTTCATTCCTACTGAACCTGTGCTCACTATTTTTATGATGAAAACAACTCCTTAATGGTCTACCAGACTTATTCTAACCACAACTGGCTCTTTATCCATTCTGGATACTATGATCAGCCATTTCACCAATGTCCTCACCTTAATTTTCTTGACTTGTTTGCCATGGATACATCACAATTACCTAGAAGAACTTGTTGAAACATGTTTGGGGAGATACACCTCCAGAAAATATGATTTCTTTACATGTGGGATGTTGCCTGGGAATCTGCTCTTGTGACAAGTTACCCAGGTGACTCTAATATGCACGCAGGTTTGGGACCCAATGCATTAGGACTTCACTATAGAAATTATCTTCTCTTTCTTCCAACTTCAAGCACTCCTACTTCACTGATCCTTTCCTTCAGCAAACAGCCTGCTCAGATTTCCCTGTACTCTGCTCCAATCAAGTGATTATCTTTACAAGTAGACTCCTTGCCCGAAAGAACAGCTTATATACAGAGTCTAATTCATCAACCTCTAACTTAATCTCTTGCAATCTATCCTTCTTATCTTCTATTGAAACTGTTTCTGTGTCAACCAAATTCAATGGCCTTTTCTCAGTTCTCCTCTTCCTCTTTGGCCTCTCTACCATTCAATGATGTTAACTACTTCCTTCTGAAATTCTATGCTAAGCAGACTATGTACCACTTTAGAGAGTCCTGATTCTTCAGTCCTCCTAGTTACTCTTTCTCCTCTCATCCTGTAACGACTGGCATTTTCCTCATTCCTGTACCCTGCACGCTGGCATTTTTATCTAATCTCATAACTTAAGCTATCACTTTTATCATAGGTTATTTCTAAATCTAGATGTTTTACCTTGATTTTGATCCTGCAGATTTACCAGATAAAAAATATATACACAGTGCAATATTTGCTCCAATAGACAAAAAGAATTCCTTAAAAAAATCATCTAATAAAATGTCAGGAGCCTAGAAATTATAGTAGTCTTTATCTACTTAGTATTGCAAAGATACTACTAATTCATTCAGCAACTTCTGATGCATCTAATATTTGTACTGTACCATTCTGAGTGATGACACAAAAATCAAGATGAATAAGGAGGAGAAGAAGCCTAATTTTGCTATATTCTTTAAATCAGTTACCTCCCTCACCATTTAATTTCTCAATAACCTGTGATATATACATTTTACAGGTAAGAAGTCCGAGGCTTATGGAGATTAAATACTAAGCCTGAAGTCACATAGCCTATCAAAAAATGATAAAGCTAGACTCTGAAAATAAGATTGTCTGAATTCTAAGTCTATGCTCTTTCCGTTATGGTATACCGATACCTTGAGAAAGTCTCCAAGGAGTCAAAATTCCAAGGAGAGACAGAACTCATGTACACAAATAATAACAATGGTACCTAATAAAAAGCAGTAACTGCTGTGACAAAGAATGACTGAAGCATTCTGAAGTTCAGAGAAGGATCGAGTACTGTTTGCTTAATAAGGGATGGCTTCATAAAGGAGGCATTTGAACTGGGCTCTGAAAGATGAGTAGGAGTTGGCTAAGAAGAGAGTCAATGAAGAAACATCCAAGCCGTGTGTCTAATCCAAGACAGGGAAGTGGGAAAACATAGGGTGCATGTTAAAACATCATGCTACAGCATAAATGATTTAAAGAGGTGCCCAGGACTAGTAACAAAAGCTAGAGTTATGAAGAGAACCTACAGCAAGGTCTAAATGCTACGCATTTGTGAATGGCCCAGGTGAGAATATTTTCCTGTCATTTTCCCATATCTTTGAGCTTCCTTTTTTTTTTTTTAACAACCAGTTTCTCAAAGGCTCTATGATCTTCATTGTATCCACTATCTACCTATTTCAGTACCTTACCAATAACCCACACAGTCCTTAAATTGCTGTCTTAGAAGAAGTAACTTACCACCTCCTAATCACAAACTTCAATGGCTTCCCTAAGACTGTAACTTAGATTTTCAGAAGAATCCAACTTTGCTGACCACCTTACCTCTGACCTTTTGCGATCTCAGACCTAGTGCCATGCCTGATCGCTTCCTAACCTTTTGATAATTCTTTCTGTTTCCACTGGCTTTTATTATTCCACCTCCTGCTCCTTAAATGTAGGTGCTTCTTAGTAGCCTAGTTTCAATCCTCCTTCTCTCTTTAGAAATTTCACGCACATTCAGGACTTCAGTTCCATCTATCTCAATTCAGTCAACGTACAAAATCAAGATCATTAGCCTGATGCTCTTCGTACAGTTCCACTTTAAAGCTAAATTCACATTTTTAGCTGCCAGATGGATACTTCCATTAATATTCCACAAATGCATCAAATTTGCCATTTCAAAAGTCATATCGATCATTTTGGCTCCTCAAAAAACATCACTTTTTTTTTCTATTTTTCCCTTTTTTTTTTGATAACTCCACCAGAATGCCGATTGTCAGGTTCACCTTCTAGATGACTCTCTCACTTTCTGCGCCTGTTTAGTTGTCCCATCCTTTCTCTTTATAAAGTCTCTTCCTTTCTGTGGTTGGTGACCACTGTTTCAGCTTTCATGACCTCACTCTTATCAGTCTCCTACTTGGTCTACGGGCCTCTGGTCTGACTTTTCTTCCATTCATTTTGCACACTTGGGCCAAATCCTACAGTTCTACTCCCCGATCTTCGTAACTCCCAAGTCCTACTGAATAGTGCCCCAATTTCTTCCTAAGCATTTAAGTCCCTCTCACAAGTTACCTTCCAATTACTTTTTCAACTTTATCTCTCAGGGATCCTCTATGGTTACTCTAAATTTCAGCCAAAATATACGAGTCATAATTGCTTTGGCTAACTTTGAGCTTCAGCACACATACCCCTTTGTTCATGCCATTCCATTACCCAAAACAGTCTTTCCTTCCTATTTCTGCTGATGAAAATCTTCCTCATCTTTCAAGGCTTCGTGGAGAAAGTGGCACTTGAGCACAGTCTTGGGGCATAGTTGTCAAGCTCACTGAACCTAGTTTTTTCATCTATAAATTATGACTATATTCAGCATATGTACTGCAACAAGGCTGATGCAAAGACTAAGGATAAAAATGAGTAAGAGCACTATCAGGTGCTTAGAAAGCAGGGTTTTTTTTTTTAACAATAATATATAACCTTATATAAGCAACTTAAATAATTAAAATTTTAAATAAAAATCAATGATTTTAAGTAAGAACTGATGATAAAATAATGCTAATTACACTATTAAAGATATCTACTCTAATGTCATTGATGGGTTGTTTTCTCTTTTTAAACCTCATGTCCATTCCAAAAGATTAAACAAAACCTTAAATTAAAAAACAAAAGACATGTTTATCACAAGACCCAGACCCAAAATCATTATATGGCCACAAGAAAGCAATTAATCCTCCTTCTTTGCTTCAGTTTTATCATCACCTAAGAATAGCCTAAGGAAGGTCTATTTCAGTATTTCTGAAATGCATAATCACAATTGTAAGTGAAAAAAAGTGTTATACTCTGCAGACCATTCTATGTCAATTCTTTTGGATTCTGGATCTTAAAGTCCATTATCTAAGGAAATGATGAGATGCTGAATATAGTCTTCATCTTAGACACAAAGAAACTGAAGTGTAGAGACACTAAGGGATTTTTTTCAATATTGCTTAAATTAATGATACTGTAAACATGATACAGACATCCAAATTCTTTATGCAGTTTTTCACTTAATATGTTTACTATGCACTAAATGAACAGTACATTTAGAACTGAATATCTTATTTTTAAGTTGAACTCTTTATGTAGCAAGACACTGAGTAAGTAACTACACAGGAAAGT